GACAACAATTAATTGCATTTAAACATAAGAGAAAGGAATTCGGCCTGGTGGCTCACACTTGTAATTAGGAAGGAGGACTGTAAGTTTGAGGCCAGTCTGGGTGACCCAGCGAGACCTTATTAAAAGGAAGGGAGAGAAGGAATGAGGGAGGAAGAGGAAGAAAATAGAAGAAGGGAAAGGAGGGAATGAAAGGAAACTTGACAGAATTTTGAATGTTCCCAACACGAGAGATGAGAATTGTGTGAGGTGATAAAAATGAGGTATGCAGGTCTTATCATTATATATTGTATGCATGTATCGAAATACACTACACCCACATATCTATACAGTTATCGTGTGTCATTTGCCACGTATCGAGTGTGTGACACAAAGGCTAAGCAGGAACGTATGGGACAGAGTTTTTCCTCCCCAGAAGTACATGTGCCGTGATGATTGATATTTGTGTGTAGAAAGCAGGGAGGAGGACAATATCAGGACTTCGACCGTGGGTCCTGGCCTGTGAGCCACCACAGCACAAGGTGAATTCAAGAACAGACAGAAATGAGACTCAGAGTGAAGAGGCTGGATCTTGGGTCCTGGTCAGTGCTGCTGATGGCAACAAAGGCAAAGGCCCCCAAGCACATCCAGTGTTTATTGAATACAATCTTGAGAAGGAATAGGGAGTTAGGGAGCTTTGAAGGCATCTAGTGAATTACTGCCGAACACCTGGCATGATGGCACCAGGCAGGGCTGTCAGGGAGCTAGCACTGCTTGTCTTGCTGGGATGGAAGAAACCAGTAGCGGCACCAGGCGAAATCAGCAAGCAACCCACAAGGTCAGTGATAAGCAATCATTCAGGGAAAGGATTTTAATTGGGGTCACGCTGACTTCATCTGCACTTAACTTAGCAGGGCCCTGCCACTTCACTTAGGTCTCAGTGACAGCCATTAGCAAAGGAGCAATACTAGCCCAACTCTGCAGCTGATATGCCCCTCTGAGTCATTTAAGGCTCTGGTCGGACTCCTAACATAAAACAATATAGCTGAATTAAGGACAGCAAGAAGCACGTGCCACTGATAGCCCACTAGTACTAGGTAGTGTTGTCTGCTACATTTGTGATTTTGTAATGTCACCAGCCTCCTCTGGGCACTGATTTCTAGTTCATTGCCACCTTGCCCTTGCCCTGATTTCTAGTGTTGTCTTCATTCTCTGATTAAGTAAATCTATTTCATTTAAAAAAGAGAGAGAAGCTAGAAAATCAAGCCAAAATCCATGAGTGTCATTCACGACAGAACTGGGTGATGATCTGTCTTCAGGGTCATTGGGGTGGATTATGGAAGGAATAGCTGTCAACAGTGCAAGGCCTCCACAGGGTCAGCAGCTGCTCAGGAGGCTGAGGGAAGCAGGGGCACATAGAGGCCCTGGCGGCAGAGAAGCCCTGGGGAGTCAGCAGAGGCTTGGAAAAATGGTTTTCACAGATAACAGGGAATTCTGGAGAAAGCACGGAGGACTTCCAGACCTGGAGTTGTTGATTAACCATTCTGTGCTTCATGTGGATCCATGAGGAGTTGGTTTCATGACCAGAGTGAAACATAACAGAGCTCTCAAAGTGAAGGGGAATGGAAGACTTAGAAACATACGTAGCTGAATGAATTCACCAGACCTCTGCTATGAGACACAGGAAAGCAAGCCCGTCAGGCCGCAGGAAAACAATACTGGGGAAATCCCCATGACTCTACAAGTTCCAGGGGGACCAACTCCACAGCCTTTGTGTTGTAACTCTGCTCACTGGAGTCCTGTGTTCTTTCCTGAACCATGTAGCTGATTTCAAATAGAAGAATGTTTTCCCCTACCACTTTTATGTAGCTAAATGTTTTTTATAAAACTAAACTAAGATTCACTCAGTTCTAGATAAAAATGTTCTTCCAGAATTAACTTTTGTCTTATGTCTTCATTTTATGACTAAAATTATGTTACCATGGGCAGTTTTGGACTCACTTTCAACTAATTTGAGAATTCAATGTTTTACTGTGTTAACTTCTGGTCATCTTTGAATATTCAGTCCCTATCGAGGAGGCTTACTTCTGTTAAATTTATTTTTATTTTGTGAGAAGTGACTTTGTCTTCACTGGATAGAAAAATAAGTTCATTATACTTACTGACAAATTATTCTCATTTTGTGAATAGAAACCTTACAATTAATGGTAAAAATTGAGAAAATTATTATAAATAGGAATAAAATGATTTGCATAAAAATAGGACAAAGAACTCCAAAAACTAATTTTCTTCAGAAAGAAAAGAAGAGCACTTTACATAAAAAGGGTTGGAAATCAGAATGACACTGGATTTCAGTGACAAATTGTAAATTAAATGATGGCAAGAATTGCCTTCAAAATTCTGTAGAAATATGGCTACTAGTATATATCTGAGAAAAATGGTTATTTTCATAAAGCCTCAAAAAAATAGCTCTTCTATATCCCTGTCTCAGGAAATTACTTGAGAATATGCTCCACCAAGTGCTAGAGAGGGTTGGGGATTTAGTTCAGTGGTGCTGCGCCTGCCTCGCAAGCACAAGGTCCTGAGTTCAATCCCAGCTCCAAAAAATGTGCTGGAGAAACCAAAAGAAAGAACATATGCCTTCCATAAAATATGTGCTCCAACAGAGGAAAGAGGGGAAAGAAAGTCCTGGCATTGTGGACAAGGAAATCCAGGATAATAATGGGAAACAAAGTTTTTTAAAACCAGCTAATATAGACTATAAGGCAGGAGAGCTGAGACTACCAGGGAAACATCTCAGAAGAAAGAAGAAAGGAAGGGTGGAGGGGAAATTAGTGGATAACTGATACAGTTTTAGTTTCTGCGTTCATCAGAGGTTTGGAGAATCCGTGAATAATTTATGTGTATAAACTATACATCCAGGGCTGGGGATTTAGCTCAGTGGTTCTACCGCCTGCTTCGCAAGCACAAGATCCTGAGTTCAATCTCCTGTACCAATAAATAAATAAATAAATAAGAAAAATGTTCATCCGAAATGAAGGTTTTTTTGTTTTTGTTTTTGTCCTTCATTAAGAAAGCGTACCAATGTAGATGGGGAGGGGAGGAGGGGGTGAAGGGAGGGCAGGGGTAAGGGGAAACAATGAGAATCAAGACCTGTCATGTAGAGGTACAAGATCCCAACAATGAATGTAACTGTACTGTATCCCTAAAATGTACCAATAAATGCAATTAAAGCTGAAAAAAAAAAGAAGAAAGAAAGTGTACCAAAGGCCAGGTTTTTAGCTCAGTGACACCATGCCTCCGTTGCAGGCACAAGGTCCTGAGTTTGATCCCCAGTGCCAAAAAAAAAAAAAGAAAATGTACTGAAAGTAGAACATAACTAGGACACAATGTGAATATACTCATTTACACTGATTTATACAGAAATGTTTTATAATGAGAGATGGGAAAGAAAATAGTGAAGAAGTCAAGAGAATCAAATGTTCACTTACTATAATAAAAACTCAGTAGAAAATATATAAAACATGATTTATAAATGTAGGTGTAAAACCATATTAAACCTCTAAAAGTTTTACGTTCTCAGAATAGGAATTTTGAGTGTGGATGGATGAGATCAAACACCGATGTTTCTCTTAAAAAACATTACACTTCCAAAAACAACTGCATATAGTATTACAACAAGACTCAAACAAAACCAAAAAGTCTCAAATCTGTTTTTAAATTCTTTTTTTTTTTTGAACCGGAGATTGAACTCAGGCCCTTGTGCTTGTGAGGCAGGCACCGGAATCACTGAGCTAAATCCCCGACCCTTAAATTCTAAATTAGGCTTTTAGGGTGGCTTTTCCCCACCACAAAATTTTTAGGCTATAAAGTATTTTTTTTCTAAATTTTGCCCATGTGAAACTAATTTTAGTAATGTTATGATTTTGTTTTTTTAATGGCTATGTAATTGACTTCACACCATTTATTATTCTGTGCCAAGTTATTTTATTTGCTTTTGTGGTTCTGGGGATGGAATTTAGGGCCTTGAACACACACAGGAAGTGCTCTGCCACTGAGCAACACTCCCAGTCCACCAAATTATTTGAAATGGCATTTATATCACACAGGTTGCCACCAGGACACTGATCTGTTGATGAGTCTGATGCCTTTGGGCTCACGAAAAAGAAAGATGATGGCAGTGGAAATAGGAATACATAGAGGGCTTTGAGAGAGATCAGAGGATGCAGGAAGGTAGAACTGTGGTCGATGGATGAGAGCAGGCATTCAGTGAGAAGGTGCACCAAGGAATCATCTCAAGTAACCTAAAATTCCAGATGAAGACAGCCCTTGATGTGTTTTTAGGGTCTCTCTTCCACTTTAGCTGACACTGTTGGAATCTGCATATTTCATTAGTGTCTTATCGTAGTTAGTAGCAACACCTAGAGGTTGTCTCCTGGAAAATGTGAGTATCCAGAATTGGCTAGCTTCTCTAAAAATCTAATTATGGTTAATCCTTTTAAACTTATAAAAAAAAATCAACTCGAACTTGAGCCAGATGTGGTGGTGCACACCTGTAATACCAGCACTTTCGAGGCTAGAGCAGGAGTATGGTAAGTTCGAAACCAATCTGGACTACATAGTGATACCCTGTCTCAGAAAAAGAAAAAAAAAAAAGGAAGAAACTATTTTCTTGCGTTAAAGTTCTTGCATTAAGGAAACTTTCATTTGTTGTATGGAGTCAAGCTCGCACCAAATCATATTCCATTGGGGAGAGTCTGGGAACTAAACCTATAGCCTTCATTTTGAGCTACATCCCTATCCCTTTATTATTCTTCACTTCAAGATGAGGTCTCACCAAGTTTCTAAATTGCCGAGGATTTAGCTCAGTGTTGCCAGGACTTGCCTCGCAAGCGAAAGCTCAAAGTCCAGGGTCAGATCCCAAGCACCAAAAAAAATAAAACAAAAAAAGCACCAGCGAGGCTCCGCCTCCTGGTCCCAGGCCCCGCCCTCCGTCGGCATGGCCCCGCCCTTCCGACGTGCGCCGCGACCTACGTCATCGTAAAGCGTCCGGGTGGTTTAGCGAGGACTGAAGGGAGGCCATTGCTTTTCGGTGCTCTACCCTGTGGAGCTCTTCACGCGTAGAACTAGGCTCACACTGTCGTGACAGCGGAGACCGAAAGAAAGGGACAGACGAGCCCAAACAATCCCTGACGGAACGCAGCTGCCGTCCTCCGGGTCACGTGTCTCCAGTGGCCCGCCTCCCACAGGCTGCTTTGTTGCTAGGCACCAGCGTTAGCGTCCGTATCTGCGAGGACCTAAAAAAGGTCCTTGGGTGCAGATGGACCAGTACTGCATCCTGGGCCGTATAGGGGAGGGTGCCCACGGCATCGTATTCAAGGCTAAGCATGTGGAGGTGAGGCCGGGCTGCGCGCTGCGGAGCTGGCTGACCTCTGCCTCACGCCTAGTGCTTCTGCCAAGCAGGATAGCTTTCTGGCCTCCTTTGGGCCGTGGCCACCACCCCAAACCCACCACGGTCCCAGGCCTGCTCCACGCCGCGCGGTAGTATTGCGCCCTCGCCAGGAGGGCCTTGACCTCTCCTGACCAGGGGCGCTTTCTCTCTTCTCCAGCCCGAGGGAAGGGGAAAGTGGGGGCTGCAGTAGGCAGTTTTGACTTCTTTCTTGCACAGACTGGCGAGATAGTTGCCCTCAAGAAGGTGGCGCTGCGGCGACTGGAGGATGGTATCCCCAATCAGGCCCTGCGGGAGATCAAGGCTCTGCAGGAGATTGAGGACAATCAATATGTGAGTGAAGGCTGGGCTGAGTTGGGGTGGGCGAGGGAACCAGCAGGCCCGAGTCATCTCCTGGCCTCCTTCACAAGTTCCCTGTTCCTCTTTCTTTTACCGACCTACCATTTACCAAACCCTTTTGGAGATTTCCTTCCTCACCCACTTCATTCATCTACCTCCTTATACTTGATTTTTATCCCTTTTTTGTCCTCTTGTTCACTCTCATTCACCTAATTACTTCATTCCTCATTCACTCTCTTATTTACTCATTTTTTCGTGTACTCATCCATTTATTCACGAACTTACTGTTTTTTATCAAAACATTTGGTGATTTTTTTTCTTTGTTCTTGCTAGGGAAGGAACGCAGGGCCTTGTGCATGCTAGGAAAGCGCTCTACCACTGAGTTACTCCCCTAGTTTCAGTGGTTTTTGAGCTCCTGTGTTCTGCAGAGGCTCTATTAAACATTTTATGTATATTATCATCTTGAGTCCTCTTTACTACTCTCCAAGGCAGGTTTGGGGATCTTTGTTTCTTAGGTAAAGTATAGAGGTTCTGTTACAGCTCATGGGCCCTCCGCTGGTCAGTGGAAGCCTTGCCCTTCAGGATTCCAGACAGTCTTCCCTTAGAGCTTCCCCTTGAGCTCTGCTCTGTGCTTTCTCCCTACCAGAGTAGGGAAAAACCAGCCCTGACCCATCTTCTGAGATCTCAGGTGTGGTAAGGGAGCCAGAGGGGTGTAGGACCCACCTGGCATGATGTGTTCCATGACATGGGAGATCTTTGAGGACCCCACAGCATTATTGTGTCTATGGGTACCCCCACATCATTCTTCATGGCCCTTTCTCCTTTCACTGTCAGAGAACATACTCCGCTCCCTGAAAAGTTGACACAGTTCTGGTCTCTGATTCCCTGGCATGTGTTCATTGAAGTATCTTGTGAAACTATGTGTCACTCTGGTGTTTTATGAAGATATTATCTATGTGGGGGTATGTATATACGCTAGAGATGTTGGAAAGTCTGATAGAAAATGCACCAAGGTTGACTGCAGGTGATTTTCCTTTTTTTCTGTATATTGTTGTATATTATCTGTGTGCATGTGTTATGATCTGTAAAATGATCATGTACTACTAGAAAATTAGAAAAACAGTGATAAGGCGTTCATGTTTTTGAGGAAAATAAAACGGTTTCCAGGGACTGGGATATATATGTATAGCTCAGTGGTAGAATGCTTGCTCGGCGTGACTGAAGCCCTGGGTTGAGTCCGCAATACCACACACAGACACAGACACACACAAACAAAAGGCTTCTAGACAGTCCATGTGTGAGGTGAGTGGAGGGAAATCCATAAGGAGACTGGTAATATGGTCCCGAATCCCATGGGCAGCAGGCATGAAGGTTCCATTTTAAAACATCCTCTAGACTTTCTTGATCCCTAATCATTGTTACCTGTAGCCACAACTTCTTGCTCCTCTCTGCAGTAACCAACACCAATCTCAGATCGGGGAGAATAGCAGACACATCCTTCCCCTAAAAGACATCCCATTCTCATGTCCCTTTAGCCTCTGTCATGTCCCTTTAGCCAGCCACTGGGCCTGCACTTGCTGCTCCCCCTGCCCAGAACATCTCAAATTTCCATATAACTGGCTGTGCTCCAAATCTCCCACTGACCTTTCTCCACCTTGTACAGTAACCCTTTTTCACTCACTCAAAATCACATTGCCAACTGGACATAGTGGCAAAACCTGAAGGCTGAGGCCAGAGGATCACCACAAGATTGAGGTCAGTCTGGGCTACATAGTCAGTTCAAGACCAGCCTGAACTACACAGTGAGACCCTGTCTCAAAAATAAATATCTATGTATTTTTTTTTAAATCACATTGCCCTCTTGTATATCTATTTCTATACTTGCCAGAACCTGAGCATATCCTGTTTGTTTATTTTTCCATCATTTATCCCCTGTCCAGGATCTCACTGCCCTGTGCATTCTGGGCCCTCTGACACTAATGATGTATGTGTGCGTGTTATGTCTCCATCTATCCCAGTTCCAGACATGATTTGACTGCTGGTGCCCTTCCCTGGGTGCTAGAATTTAATGGCTGTGAAGGAAACAGGCCCAATCTGCTTGCTTGTCTCCAGATGATTTTCCAAGATCCACAAATTGACCTTCTCTCTCAGTGTTCGCAGAGAATCAGAGAGGGGAACTGCCTTGTCTCTGGAAAGCAAAGCAGCATGAGCAGCAAGCACAGCCCCTGTGTTGCTGTCTCTGCCAGCCTGGTCCTCTGTTAGAGAATGGGCTGAGGGTCCCTGGGGTCAGAGAAAAGATCTGGCAAGGTGAGTCTAGCGAGTGAGTCTCATGACTGATGGAATGTCTGCCCACAGGTGGTGCAGCTGAAGGCTGTGTTCCCACATGGCATGGGCTTTGTACTGGCCTTCGAGTTCATGCTGTCAGACCTGGCTGAGGTGGTGCGTCATGCCCAGAGGCCACTGGCCCCAGCCCAGGTCAAGAGCTACCTGCAGATGCTGCTCAAGGGCGTGGCCTTCTGCCATGCCAACAACATTGTGCACCGGGTCAGTCCTCGCATGGGCCGGGTAGGCAGCCCTTGAAGGTGTGGTCAGAGGGGTCAGGGACTTCAGGTGAACAGCTGGGGTGTGGCACTAGAGGAGGCAGAGCCTAGGCTCAACTCCGGTGGTCATCCTGCAACCCCTCATATCCCAAAGTCCTGAGGGGTTTGGAGAGGGACCAGTGCTGCCTTCATCACTCAGGACCTGAAGCCTGCCAACCTGCTCATCAGCGCATCAGGCCAGCTCAAGATAGCTGACTTCGGCCTGGCCCGGATCTTTTCTCCAGATGGCAGCCGCCTCTACACACACCAGGTGGCTACCAGGTAGGGTGAGCTGGATTCCCACCAGCCTGCTCACTGGGGTAGAGGTACTTCAGGGCCTCTTATCTAAACATGGTTTGTGGAGTTGAGGTGGGGCTAAGGTGAACTTCTGGTTCAGACCAGTGGCTTGGCTTGCATCTTTGCCATTTGCCCCAGGTGGTACCGTGCCCCAGAGCTACTGTATGGTGCCCGCCAGTATGACCAAGGCGTCGATCTATGGTGAGTCTCCTGGGGACAGGCGAGGATGATGTGGGCCATGGGAGGCGGGGTGTCCTCCCTGGTGGAATTGGGGCTCTTTATTGTGTTTTTGAGTTGGGTGAGGGGTAGGTGCAGGTTGTCCCAGGTGTGAAGCTTCTTAGCCAGTGGGAGAGGTGGGCTGAAGCTCAGTGTGGACTGTCCAAGCTGGCATGTACAGGGATCAGACCCCAGGAGGACATGTCTCTGAGCCAGTCAGTCAGATTATCATGTCCCTGGGTATGAAACCTCTGCGCCTTTTGCGGGGAGTAGATGGTTTGTTGTACCCAAGGGTATGAGATGTGGGGCTGTTCACAGGTCTTCCCTGGGAAGTGAAGGGCAAACTTTGCATTCCACAGCAGGAGGGTCTGAGAAGTCTTGGAGCTGTTGGGGGTTTGTATTGTGTTCTTAGACAGAGGACTTTGGGGGTCTGGACCACCATTGTTGAACCTCTGAACACTGGTTGAGAGTTTAGAGCTCGTGTAGTCTAGTCGGTGTCCTGTGGGTGAGATCCCAGGCCACCAGGGTTCTGTATCCACAGGGCTGTGGGCTGCATCATGGGGGAGCTGTTGAATGGCTCCCCTCTCTTCCCTGGCGAGAACGACATTGAACAGCTTTGCTGTGTGCTACGCATCTTGGGCACCCCCAATCCCCAAGTCTGGCCGGTTCGTAGGGGCCCTTGGTGAGAAGGGTGGGGGAAGATGGCCTCTGTTTCCCAGCAGAAAGTGACTGCTTCCTTCTCTGTACCTTGTCTCATGGCCCCAGCCCCTCTGGAGCAATAGGAACCACCATCCTGGCCCAGCTCTGGTTCTTCTCTCCTACTCTACTGGAGGCAGGAGGGCCTGGTCCTGTTCTCTTGCAACACACATACACACAGTTTCAGCAAGCTGGGCATGGAGTCAACACCAGAAAGGGTGTAGGTGGTGGAGGGGTGAAGGAGTGGGGTGTAAGAACAGTGAGCGAGTACAAGCATGCAGGGCGCCGAGGGCAGCGAGAAACACCAAGGGCACCAACTGCTCCCTCTGCCTTTCTCCTCTTCCTGCTGCAGGAGATCACAGAGCTGCCGGACTACAACAAGATCTCCTTTAAGGAGCAAGCACCAGTGCCCCTAGAGGAGGTGCTGCCCGATGCCTCTCCTCTTGCTTTGGACTTGCTGGGTCACTTTCTCCTCTACCCTCCTCGCCAGCGCATCGCAGCATCCCAGGTAGGGTGAGAAGCCATGGCTACTATCCCTTCAGCACCCCACCTCTACTAAATGGTGGTGGCAGCCCCCAGAAAGAGGGCAGGGCCCAGCATGAAATGTTAAGGTGTTTGAAAAGCTGTTTGCTAAAGACCGAAGTGCTGAGCAGTGACCTGGAGGAGAAGATCCAAGCAGGCTGCTTGCCTCTGGAAGGCAGGGAAGGACAGGAAGGACCACAGAAGCAAGGCCTTACTTCCACTGGGACCTCTCCATCTAGCCTAGAGGTCACCCATCCCCTCCTGCACTTGGCACCAGCAGCCAGTGTGCAGATGCCCTTGGTTCTCAGTGTCAGCAGCTGCTGTGGGCTCTGGCAACTGCTTCTCTCCCGCATCCTCCCAGAACCTGTCTTCTCTCACCTCACATCATCTCACTCACCTGCAGAGAGAGTGACTTTGTCCAGTACAGCAGGTCGCACCTTTCCTCTGTAGTCCCTTCCATGACTCCTCACTCATCAGAATAGCCAGGGTCCTTCTCACAGGTCACAGGTGCTGCAGGCTTGGGCACATTACCTGCTGGCCCTGTATGCTGTTGTCGCCATGCTCACACACCTCCTGTCCCGTGCACCTCTGCCTGGCCTTGAGTCCTGTTCCTGTTCACTCGCTTCTCTGTGAACCTGCAGTCTCTCGCCAGTGTTTCTCTTTCTCTTCTTGCTCTTTTGCTCAGCACTGATCATTATGGGGCACACTGAGGATCATAACCCTTTATGTCTTACTATCTCCACCCCGACCCATGTTGGTCTATTTTTTTCACCTCTGCGTCCTTGGCCTCCATAACAGCATTCTAGATGTGTGGCCACCCAGGAAGGGTTTTCTGGGTCAGCGGAGTGCATGAGTCAGCCCCTCACCCTCTGCCCGAGGCCTGGGACAGTGCACTGACTGCTACCCCTCGTTTGCCACCGCAGGCCCTCCTGCATCAGTACTTCTTCACTGCTCCCTTGCCTGCCCACCCATCAGAGCTGCCGGTTCCCCAGCGCCCAGGTGGACTGGTCCCCAAAGCACACCCGGGACCCCCGCACACCCATGACTTCCGTGTGGACCGGCCTCTGGCGGAGTCACTGTTGAACCCAGAACTGATTCGGCCCTTCATCCCAGAGGGGTGAGGCGCTGGCCCTCATCCTGCCTGCCCCCAGGTGCACCTGGCACCTTGTTCTGCTTCCTGCCTGACTCAACCCTCCAGAGCTTGTCCAGGGCCACACCCCCTCCTCGAGGCTGGTCTCAAGAAGGCAGGGAGCACACCCCAGCCAAGCCAGTGTGGATGGCCAGCCCAGTGGAGGAGACCATGACCCATGAGCTGTTGGAAGCAGGGAGCTGTGCTGCCAACCAGAGACCATCATGAAGTGCTGCCTCCTGCCCTTTGTCAAGGCACTGTCTTCTGCTCCAGGACATGTGTGTCAGAACCATCTAGGGGAAGTGTGGAGGGGAAGATGTCTTCATGTTGGAAACTCTGGGAAGCAAGTTTGGTTTAATTTGTTCTCAGACCGTCTTCTGGTTCCCTATCTGGGGCTGGGGATTTGGCTCAGTGGTTCCACTGCCTGCCTTGCAAGCACAAGGTCCTGAGTTTGATCTCCAGTACCGCCCCCCGCCACAAAAAAGCCTCAAGCATCTCTGTGTGTCTGTTCTGTTCCTAAAAGGGCAATGGGGAGGTGGCATTGTCTCATGGCCCTCACTGGTGGTCACAGCCACTTTTGCCCTGAGGGTTTCCTGTGTCCTTTGCTTGACTAAGTGCTCATTTGGAAGGGAGGTGGGCAGGGATGGGCAAGCTGGGGATTCAGCAACAGAGCAGTTAGCAGCATCCACTCTACAGATGAAGGCGAGCCAAAAGCAGCCACGCAAATAAGGAAACTGGACTAGGTGGAACTCGCTTACCTCAGTATAACCCCATCTGACACATTTATTCCTATTTCATAACAGATAAGGCAATGCTAAAAAAATACTTGGAAATGCAGGAGGGCCAAGAGGAGGCAGCAGAAGAGGAAGAGCTTTGCTTGACTACTTTCAGAGATGAAGATGGCTTGGAGATGGAATTAGTAGCCCATAAACCAGGAAATCCAAATGGTCTCTAGGAGCTGAGAATGGTTTTCTACTGACAGCCAGCAAGGAGATGGAAATCTTTTTTTTTTTTTTTTTCATGATGCCTGTCTCCTTTTATTTTTTTATTAATAAATTTTATTTTACCTCAAGCCCCCTCCCCTCCCTATGTATAAAAGCGTTGTTTCCATTTGGAAACCTCATTCTTAAATCCACAAGAAACTGAATTGTGCTGACAACCGTAATGAGAAAAGGAAATAAATTATTTCCTAGAGCATACAGAAAGGAATGCAGCCAAGTAATACCTTGATTTGGGCCCACTGAGATTCAAACCAGACTTCTGATCAATAATGTAAGATTAGATGTGTTTTGTTTTAAACCACTAATTTGCTGGGTGTGGTGGCACACACCTGTAATCTTAGCACTTAGGCTGAGGCCACAGGTTTGCTTGCAAGTTGAAGGCCAGCCTGTGCTACATAGTGAATTCAGGCCCAGCCTGAACTACATAGCAAGAACCTGTCTTTAAACACACACACACACTAAATTTGTGTGATTTGTTAGGGCAGCAATAGAAGTATACCTCTCCACTCCCCTGCCCCATGGCAGGGATTGAATCTAGGGCTTTCACACTGAGTTATGGCCCTTTTTCCTTTCTTTTATTTATTTGTTTTCTTCTTTTGAGATAGGGTCTCACTAAGTGCTCCAGCAGAAGCCATGGTAGCAGCAACCCTTCCTATCCCTTTATCCCAGTATCACACAATCAGACCCAGACATCTCAGAAAAGCCCCATCCTATGACCACATGAGTCTTTAGGGTGACATCTAGACACAAGCCAGAACACTAAGCTATCCCTGAACTTTACCTTGGCCATGAACTGAACTTGACTTTCACCCCGTCACAGACCCTATCCCTGACCAGGACTCTATTCTGATCATTACTCCCTACTTACCTTGACTTTAACTTGATCTTGAAATTACTGCTGGCCCCACAACTTCTTTCACACTGACTTGAACATGATTCTGACAATGACCATGGTCCTGAACTCTCTCACTATAATCCTTCACCTGCCACAGATTTTGCCTTGGATCAGACACTTACCCCGACCCTGAATTTGACTCTTACATTCTGTCCCGGAGCATTCCCTCATCCAGACAATTACCCTGACCCCATGAATTTGACACGTCACTTCACCCTTACACTAGACCTGATCTGAACTTGGCCAGGTCCAGGACCAAAACAGGGTGATGTACAGGGTCAGTATCAAGTCCAGAGTAAGTGAGGTATTGCAAGGGTGAAAGCCAGTCCCACGGTCAGAGAGAGGCTGAGAGTCAGTGTGATCGTAAGGCTGGAGCTGAGATGAGGGCAAGGTCAGGTTCTTGTTCAAGGAGAAGGTGGGTACCAGGGACAGGGAGGGCAAAGGTAAGAGACGGCGGCGTCAAAGTCAAGGCAAAGAGCAAGGCCAGGCTGACTGTAAGAGCTCCTGACACAAATTATGTGCACTGAAGCAGTTAACCCAGGAGGGCAAAATGTACCGGGTTGGGTGGTGGTTGCCGGGAGGAGCGGAAGCGCGCACGGACCCGGAACTGCAGTTAGCTCACACGGAAGTGTGGCGAGGTGGGCGGGTTATTGGGCGGGGCGGAAGCGGGAGGAGCAGGGGCGAGGCAGAAGACCCCTGGGTGAGATGGCTGTGCCCCTGCATCCAGACGAACTGCTGCACGTATTTTCTTTCCTGGAGGCCCGAGACCTGCTGTGCGCCGCACAGGTGAACAAGGTGAGGGCGTGGCTCGTGGTCGCTGGTTTGTCCCAAAACAGGCGCTCGTCCCGGCCTCTTCATCCGCCAGAAGTGTGTCTCGTGGTGCGCTAGAGGACTGAAAGCCCTGGAGGAAGCTTCCAGAACGAATTTGGTTTCGTTTCGGGCCCACCCTGTGCCAATGTTAATGCCTGTTGTTGTTATTCTCGGGCCCTTGTGCTTGCAAGGCAGGCGGCAGAACCTCTTGAGTTAAATCTCCCGCCCTTTTGTTTTTACTCTTTTAAATGCAGCATTACTCCGGTTGCTTTGCCTGAGCATCTCCCTTCTCACGCCCCGGGCCCCCAAGTTGATAATACTAGTTTTACGTATATTCTGTGAAATACTGGATTTTCACCTCTATTTTAGTGATAAAGAAACTGAGTATCAGAGAGTGATTGTGTAAGATGACCCCCAGAGCCATGCACTGCTTTGTTATAAGTACCGTGGCTATTTTCACAGGAATAATGTAAGAGGACCAGGGTTTGAAGGAGAGGTGCTTTATACCCTCTGGTAGCGCCAACGTTTCTTGGTCAGTTGTTCCATAGGTCTACTGTGATCTATAATTCCTGCCTCATCATTGTGAACGCCAGGATCTAAGGAAGGATCGTTAAAGGTAGCTAACATTTATTTTGCAGGGCACATTACGTAAAGATTTCAGTGGAGTTTTGATCTAGAAACTATAGAAAAGGAAAATGCTCAGATCTTTGCTTGATTTGTTTTTTGTAAAATACCAACTTTACACCCTTAACATCTAACAGATGAGTGAGGCCTGTTGAAATGGGGTCCTGAGTTTAGGGAGGATCACAGTTGCTTCTGCCAGGGCTTAAAAATGCATTTTTCTGGGAGGAAACCTTCTGAAGGGTTGGACCACCTAAGGCTGTAGAGCTTTGTCTGCTGAAATTGTGAGGATCCAGAATCCAGAGCCGCTTAGCTGGGGAGGCCAGGAGGTTGCAGGAGGCAGGCATGAGCCTGAGGGAAAGAGGTCTGGTACTCTGATTCCCATTCCACTGAGGGAAACATCCTGAGCCTCTGAAATGTACTTCTGCAGGGAGAATTTTCAAGAGCAGAGCCTGCACAACACTCTCCCCTGGGGAAACTGGCTTCGTTCTTCTGCCTTGGCATCTCTGGGCCCTCCCCTTGGCCAGTGCCTTAGTCTACTTACTCATTGCTACACCCTTCATATAAGGTCTCTGACCTCCTTCCCAATCTTTTCTGCTCACAGCAGCCAGAGCTATCTTCCTAAAACACGGTTTGACCCTGCTGATCCCCTCTTCCAAGTTCTCTGGTAGCTTTTCACTATTTTTTCCACTAAGACTTTTGAGAATGGTCTAAGCCAATCTTCTCCTCCTCTTCCCATTTCTGTTTCTCAGACCTTATTTTCTGATTAAAGCAGAACTTAATTTACTCACACTTAGGAATTCTAGTAGCCCAGCTGTTCTGTCTCTCCAAATAATGCTTCTGTCATTCTCTTAGAGAACAACTACTCATCCTTTGAAATTTAATCACTAATCACTTCTCCCCACCTCATCCCCCTTGACGCCCTCTGAGTCTCTCCTTTTTCATTTGATTGTTTTTATCCGATTGTCCAGATTTGTGTCTAATTCCCCATGGTGAGTTTTCTTAAGTTTGGGCTGGGTCTGGTTTAGTTCTTTTTCCCCTTCATAAGGCTTGGCAAACTAGATGCTGCTTATTGACTGATCAGATATTGTCTCCCTCCTTGTTCTAGGTCTGGAATGAAGTTTCACAGACCAAGGAATTGTGGAGGTGAGTAAAGGAAGATTAAAAGGTGCAGCTAGGCATGGTGATGCATGCCCATAATCCCAGCACTCTGAGAGGCAGAGGCAGGAAGATTGCAAGTTTGAGCCCAGCCTGACAAATTAGCAAGACCCTATCTCAAAAATTTGAAAAAGGATTGGAGGAGACATATGGATGCACTGGATAAATCTTCTTCTGAGCACTCTGCACTTCTGGCTGTACTGAGTGCATAGAAGTCTTATTCCTGGTCTGTATCACCTGGAAACTCCTTTCTGGTTGGGAACACAAGAATGTCAGGTAGAATATTGATAGAAGGTAGAATTACCACTGTCTGGGGCAAAAGTGGACAGCAAATGAATGCACCTGGCTGACAAGAGAAATCCACAGAATATGATCTAATTATTTTTAATTCAGCTTTGGTATGACAGCATAGCAACATGAGTATGATACAACTTACAGAGCAAAAAAAAAAGCATAAAACATTTTTTGATAAAGAAAGCTATGCAATGAAATATTACTCTGCCATAAAGAAGGATAGTGGGAAAATAAGTGTACTTTGAGACTATAAAATTAAGTGAAATCAGACACAAAAGCTTAAATACTGCATGGTTTCTCTTACATGAAAAACCCAGAGTATAAATTATTTGACGACCAACATGGAAGATAGATAATACCGCTGCCTACCTTGCAAGCACAAGGACCTGAGTTCGGTCCCTGGTACCAAAAAAAAAAAAAGATAATAGGAAGTAGGGAGGTAGATCTTTTGCACATGGGAAGGCGATCTAGAGATGAAGGGAAGGGCAAGTAAAATTATTAAGATGTATTAGATACATGTACCAACTCCTCACAATGAGTGTAATTATTATGTACTGCAAATATACTAACACATTTTTTTAAAAGAAAATACAAAAAATTGTAATCATTAAATTACTAAATTTTTCCAACTCATTCCTCCTTTAGAACCTAACATCTTTTCTTTTGTACCAAGAATTAACTACCAGAAACTGGAAAAATGGAAAGAGGTATAAAAAACCTGTCAAAACTCTTACCTCTTGCTGAATACAGTACAGCCTTGACTATTGAGAAGGTGTTATAATTAACTGTAGTCACTCATGCTGAAAAACACCTGTTCACACATAAAGGTTCTACAAAACGTGGAAAACTCTTTATTTTTATTTTTAGAATAACTATTGCTTGAGATATTTGAGAATTTGGGAATGCCAACCTTACTGTATGTAGTTTGCAGTGTTACATAGCACTGTTTGGTTTGTTGCTTTTTATTACTAATATTAATTAGAAAAATAATCTTTTGGGCCAGGTATTTAGCTTAGTGGTTCTGCCACCTGCCTAGCAAGCACAAGGATCCGAGTTTGATCCCCAGTACCAAGAAAAAAGAAAAATAATCTTTTCAGTCAGTTTTGATATGAGAACTTTCACTAGAATATCTTTATCCCTGCAATTTGACCTACCATTTGGTTCTGGAAATTACTTTTTCTGTAGGTAAGTGAACAAACAAGGTTATGTCTTGCCAAGTGCATTTCTCTAAGAAATTGAATGAACTGTTTACCTGGGTGAGATGCCAATGTAGGCTCTAGTCTTTGTTTTCCACTTTTAGTATATGTGCTGCTGAAGCAAGACTAGTCTTCATTCTCATCTTTACTGATAAGCCAGGGTAGGACTTTTCCCTCTGAATGCAATATATATTTCTTTTTTTTTTAAAATAAATTTTATTTACCCCTTCCCTTCCTCCAACACCCTTGCCTCCCTGTGTATAAAAGCTTTGAGAAATACATATTTCTTTGAGATGTTCAAAAAAATTCTCATCAGGGCTGGGGATTTAGATCAGTGGTTCTGGTGCCTGCCGTCCAGAGTTCGAGCCCTGGTACCAAAAAAAAAAAAAAAAAAAAAAAAAAATCTCTTTAGCACATTGTATACCCTCCACAGAGTATCACATTACCATATTTGCCTCAAGTTCCCGGTGTAAGCTGTTCAGCACTCTATAGGCCACATCACTAATGGGTTTTCAGTTTGTTACTATTCTGTAGTATTTGTGCTGGACTTTTTAGACTGAAGTCACGCCTTGTGATTGTTCTGTAAAATCCTCTGAGTTTTATATGGTAGAAGCTATTTCATGTGAGTCAGTCTTACACAAACAGAATAATCTGGGATGCCTAGAGGCCCTCTCTGCCCACAGGCTCTCCCATATGGGCCCTGGAATCCTTCCCACAGTGTCCGAAGCTCTCCAGTGCCTGGCACAGCCTGAGAAGTAGTTGCCCAGTGAGTGCACAGGGTACGATGGCAGAGACAGGTTATGTTGTACCTGTTTAGAACATTAAGAGTGTGGACCAGTTATTCCTCATCTGACCCCTTCAGGGTGCTGGACTGGAGCCAGAGAATGACAGTATATCTTAAGTGCTGAAATCCTCCATTCAGCAGCCACCCCAGCCCTTTCCAAACAAATGCCTACTTTCTTTGAGAACAACTCCCATAACATTATAAGCTGCTGCTTTGTTCTGGAACTTAGTAACTTGAAGCTAGAGGAAGTACTAAAGTGCACCAGTTACCAGGAAAGGTAACTATACAGGAATATATATGTAAGAGTAGTGTAATGTTTGTAACGTTTCCCCCCTGCATAAAGGAATAAATATGAATCTCTTGATGGGCATACATTTTATGAAAATGTAATTATGACAGTGCTGCTGTAACTAGATCTCTGCCTCTGGGCTCTTGTCCTGAGGGCGAAGGAAGAATGAAGCCAATAGGACAGCAGTGAGGAACGGACCGGGTGTGGTTTATTAGAATGAAAGGAAAGCTCTTGCTAGTTGAGAGCAGGTTCCAAGGGAGGATACCACTGAAGCATCTAAATCTTGAGGTTTACGTGCATTCTTTGGCATGGGAAAGGGCAGATGGACTTGGGGAAATGAAGATACTCAATTGCCCCTGCTTGCTGGTCTTGTCTTCAGAAGATTTCATCAGTCCTTTGTCATTGGGGCTCCAGTAGGCCTGTGTTCCTTGCACTTCCAACTTCCTGAGGCTTATCTCACCTTGCCCTTAGTTCACTCAGTTCATTGAGGATCTTGCCTGTTTCTCTGTCTCCTGGTCTTCAGTAGGACAAAGTCAGGGAGGAACTGGACCTATGTAGGACCAAGACCAAATGTTTCATATACTTTTGAAAATAAATTGGTATTAATCAGAACTAGTTTTTTAAAGTTAACTTTTAAATTCTAATCTCCCAAGTCAACCACTAAAAAGTAACAACAAAAAAAAATATATGGTAGAAGATTGACAAGGGAATTAAAATAGTAAAAAATGTGATAAATTAGAAGCAGTAAGTTTGTAAGGTTTGACAGGTATATAGCCTAAGCTTTTCACAGTATCTTCATCTTACTCATAATGGCAGTGTCTTTAATGTTAAATGAAAAAAAATTTAACACGAAAGAGGGTAATTATAGAGGAACGGGGAAAGGATGCAAGACCTAAAAAAAAAATAGTAAAATGACATACATATATTTTACCAGTAATTAAATTAAATGTGCATGAATTTCATACTCCAACAAAAAGGCAAAGGCTGATAGAATTGGTGAACAAAATCATCCGCTTTCATGCTGTCTGCATGAGTTATACTGTGCCTCAAGGGCAAGACCTCATGCATACTAGGCAAGTGCTTGATCGCTGGGTTACAACTTTATTTCTGAGATGTACTTTAGACTCCAAGAAACAGATAGGATAATAATAAAAGAATGAAAAAAGATACACTAGTAACTAGTAACCAAGAGAGCTGAATGGCCGCCGTCCTATTAGCAGATAAAAATAGACAAATATAGAAGCTATTACTAGACACAAGGATGTAATGATGAATGGATTGATCTATCAAGAAATGACACTTGTATATGGCCCAGTAACAAAAACAAACATGAAAGGCTGATGGAACTGCAAGGAGAAATGTGTAATTCAACAATAAGGATTGTCCATCGAAAAAAACTTAGCTTTTGAATCCCATTGTTTAACCTCTTTCTGCCTTTGTGTTCTTGTGTAGGATGGGGACTCCTACTTCACAGAGTTGTTATGAAGGTCACTTGGATATGTCAGAGAGTAGTGCATGTCTGACAGGTAGCTAGCACTCATTCAGTGTTAATCATTTTCCCCATTTTACAGGAAAGGAAGTTGAGACCTAGATAGGCAACAGGAGTTGTCCAAAGATTGAAAGCCAGTAAATGGCAAAGCTAGGATTCAGAGCTAGGCGTAGGTCCAAAATCCAAGACAGCTATATGGTGCCAGAATTTTAGTTCTGTTTTCCAGGCATTTGTGTCTGAGTCGCTGGTCCTCCTGCAAAGCCTCCAGGATGGTCCTGGGCACACAAACATGGAAACAGTATTATCTCTGCCGGTCTGAGCTGGAGTTCCGAGTGACATCTGGGCGGCCCGGGAAGGACTTCATTTGCAAAGCAATTGCTGGACACACAGGTACGAGGAGGGGACTCTAGTAGCTAGGCCCACTGTCACTGCTCATGCTCGCCCTGGGTGAGTCCAGAGGGCCTGGCTTTTGTGCAGTGACTTGGAAAGTGCTACTTGCTGAGTACATATCTGACCTGATTCTCTGTTACATGAGCCTCACAATAACCTATGAAGAAGGGACCATGACATGTTTCAGAGTAAACAAACAGAAACTAGGAGTCAGGAGTTATTCAGTCATGAGACAGGTAGATGATGGACAGTCGTGGGAGTAGAACCCTGTTATACCTCAAGAAGCTCCAGTTTGTGCCTGTTACTGTCCTCTGAATAAGCACCCAATGTGTTCCTGAGCTATAGAAAGAAGAGTAGTTTTTCTGCCAGCCCTCACCATTTGAGTGTTCAGATCACAGATCGTCTGTCTCACCCTCTTATAGGATACATAGAGCAGCTGGCCTACATTTCAACCAATGAGTACCGGTTCGATGGAAGGGAGAAGTCTGTGATTTGTACTGTGTCCTCAGACTGTACTGTGCGTGCCTGGGATTTGCATGAGGTGAGCTGGCCCTTAGAAAAGGAAGGTGACGGTGAGATTGACTGAATCCTTACTTGTACTTGTTCTTACCCAGTTATTTTAGAAAACGTCTGAGATAGAGAGTGGGAGCCCCTTACTATTGATGAAAAATCTGAGCTTGCAAGAGGCTTGGTCACCATGTGGTGTCATACTACCACCAAGCGCTGGGTAACCCGTGTTTGACATTTTAGTGCAGCCAGTCTCACAGGACAACTTCCTGGCTTCCTGCTGTACTGCTCAGGGAGACACACTTTACAGCAAGGCCTGGAGTGGCAGCTGCTATACTGTTCTTCCCCCTTCTCTTTGGCAGCACTGGGCTTTGACCTGAAATCCCTCAGTCACGTCACTCCACATTTGAACTAATGCTGGCCCCTGACAGTTTTACCAAGATAATTACAGCTGTGATCACTTATGTGTGCAAACTTGGATAATATGATTAACATCTTAAACTTTTTTTATCACTTGTAGTAACAGAGTTTTCAGTTTTCATATGTATTATCTCTTTACAAGGTATTCATTATTATCATCCTAGCTTTATGGAAGTGTAAGCTGAGACTAAGGGAGGAAACATATCTCTGAAACTTTGAACCTTGTGGTCTACAAATCCAACAGTTCTGCCTGGGGCCACAAACAGATGAAACCCAATCTCCTATGATGAATATTTTTCCTAGAAGCTATATTACTTCACATTTTTTGATGCCCCCAACAAACAAAGGCACCTTTAGTGTCGTTATTTTTGTGATGTTGCTAGGATCTTACATGTGCTGGGCAAGTGGTCTGTCACTGAGTTATACCCCAAACGTGGTACCTTACTTTGTTATGTGAATAATCTCTGGGTAAGTGGGTGCTTATCGCTGTTCATTAGGTTGCCTGAAGTGAATGTTGCCTCTAGCAGGTGATGAGTTCCTTCCAAGTGAACATAGCGCATAGCCACAGCAGGTGAATGAGGAGCCACTGTCCAGGACCTTTGAGTGTTTCAGAGATCTAGCTGTGCTTGGGGTTCAGCTCCACCCTGACTCCCCATAGGATCATCTCTCCTGAGAGACCTGCATGCCACTTGTAGAACTTTGGCCACAGCAAGCTTGACTTTAGGTACTCTTAGGTAGCAGGCCTGAGAGCTAGCACCTTCTACAGTCTTAGGCATTTTGTAATAGCAGCACTTTCATTTGAAAGAGAAGTGCTTTGGTTGGGGGCAGATAACAGGCTTTTTCTATAAAGTGGTAGATAGTAAATAGTAAATATTGTAGGCTTTTCAGGCCAGATAGCCTGTCACGACTAACTGCTATGACACAAAAGCAGCCTTGGACAATATGTAAACAAATGCAAATGACCATATTCCAATAATTATGGACACTGGAATGTGAATTTTGTGAAATTTTCAGGTGTAAAAATTTTTTTTTTCCTGAAAATATAAAAATGTGTGTAGGAACCTAACAGACAAAAAGTAGTTACTGAGTAGGTTTGGCTATAGGCCATAGTTTGCCAAAAGCTGCGTTAGCGTATTCCATTATTCCTGGTGTAGGAGTGTCAGAGGCCCTACATGTTGTATTGCCTAGCTTCCTACCCACCCTTAAACCTTTCATGAGCAAACCTTCAACCTTACTTTCTTTTTTTAAAATTAAGTTGTACAGGGCTGGGGATTTAGCTCAGTGTTTCGGCGCCTGGCTCACAAGCACAAGGACCCGAATTCGATCCCTACTACCAAAAAATAATAAATAAATTTTAAAAAAATAAAATTAAGTTGTACAGTTTGTTGAATATTTCTATGCCCTCTAAAGTTTATGTTAAATTTAGTCCTCAGGGCAATATGATTGGTAGGCACACCTTTTGAGAGATGATTGACCCAGGGGTTCTCTGCCCTTATGTGTGGGATAAGGTGGTACCCTAATGAAAGAGACTACACGTGCTTGTAATCCCAGCATTTTGGGAGGCTGCACTAGGAGGATTGTAAATTCAAGCCTAGCATGGATAATTTAACAATAAGACCCTATCTCAAAATGAAAAAACTGGGGACATACATAGATTAGTGTTAAGGCACTGGGTTTAATCCCCACGGTTGCAGAACTAAAGGGATGGAAGATTGATACTGAGAATTCCTGCTTTGACCTTTCCATCTTCCACATGTGACCTTCATCCTTCTGGAGACCCCCAGATAACCAAACCTGCTGGTGCTTTGAATTTGGATTTCCTAGCCAGAGAAAATCAAGTTATTTTCTTTGTGAACAGTCTTAGCCATTTTGTAATTGCAGCACAAATGGTCTAACAATTGGAATCTTAGTGTGTAGCCTTTTCAGATTGCCTTCTTTGGTTTAGCAACATGCATTTAAGGTTTCTCCATGTTTTTTATTTTGTTTGGTTGTGTTTTGTTTTGTGGTATTGGGAATTGAACCCAGGTCCTTATGCATGCTCTACTACGGATCTTCACCCCCAACCTTTTTAAAATTTCATTTTGAGACTTGAGTTTCTAAGTTACTATGGCTTGTATCTAGCCGCCCCCGCAAAGCCTCATGCACTCATAAGAGGGCTTTTTGGAGGTGGCTGGATCTAACATGTATAATGTTGGGATTAGGGGTGTGTACTGCTAAATTAGTCCACAGATTGGAATTAGCATAGTTCTGGTGTGGCTGAGTGGATTTACTGAAGACAGAGCCCCACCCTGGTTGTATCCTGCTATCCTGCACCACCCAAAAGGGTTGTGGCCTGGATGGGATAAAAAAGCAAGGCAGGTTCACTTCTGCTGCTTCTGCTTGCTGCTGCTTGCTGTGAACTATTTATTCTCTGCATGCCACCCTGCTTTGGAGCCAACTGACCGGACTAAAACCTCTGCAAACTTTGAGCTGAAATAAATCTTTCCTAATTTAACTTTGGATGTTGGGTATTTTGGCTCAGCAATGAGAAAAGTATTCAACAATCTGGAACTTACATTCTGATTCTCCTGCATAGCTGGGATTACATACCACCACACTTGGTTATCTCAGAAATTTTAATCTTTTTGTGTGTATTTTTTTGGTAAACTTCATGAGCAGTTTAGTTTTAATAAATACCTGGGTCGGGGGTGGTTCATTAGCAGAGTGCTTGCTTAACTTGCACAGCATGCTCTTGGATTTTGTGTGCTACTTGAGAATGTTTGTGTTTATGTTTACCAGGAGTAATTGTTTTGTGTGCATGTGTCCTTGCCTGGTTTTGGTCAGGATAATACTGGCCTTGTAGAACAAATTTGGCACAGTTTCCTCTTTAGTTACTTAAATAGTTCAGAATTGAAATTAGTTCTTTAAATATTCATTAGGATTCATTAGTAAAGCTGTCAGGTCCTGGAGTTTTCTTAGGTGGTAATTTTTTAGTTTCATTGCTTGTTACATAAGCCTGTTTGGATTTTCTATTTCTTCTTGATTCAGTCTTGATATGTTGTATGTTTTCAGGAATTTACCCATTTCTTTTAAATTTCTAATTTGTTAGCATAATTCATAATAGAATCCCTTGTATTTCTGTAGTATCAGTTGTGATGTATCCATTTTCATCTCTAATTTTATTGAGTTTTCTTTTTTATTAGTCTACCTAAGGGTGTCAATTTCATCTGCAAGAAGTCTTCATTTTCTTTTGATTTTTTTCCCCCTGTACTGAGGATTGAACCTATGGCCTCACACATGCTAGAGAAGCACTTGACCAGTCCTAGACCTAATTTTTTTTTAAAGTCTTAATTTTATTTCTCCTCTCATCTTTATATTTCTTTCCTTCCATTAAATTTGGGCTTGGTTTGTTTTTGCTTTCTAGGTCCTTAAGATAAGTAATTTCTTTGAAATCTGTCTAGATTGGATTTGTTTATTTTGTACTAGGATTGAACTCAGGGCCTTCACACTGAGTTACATCCCCAGTCCTTTTTAAATCTGCTTTTGCTATATTCCATGGATTTTGATGTGTTGTGGTTTCTTCTTCATTTGTTTTTCTCTTATAATTTCTTCAGTGTCTCATTGTGTGTTCAAGTTCCTTATATTTGTATATTTTCCATTTCGCTGTTTTTGGCTTCAGGTTTTATTCCATTGCAGTCAGAGGAGATTATATTTCATTTCAATAATTTTGGACTTCTTGAGACTTGATTTGTGGCTTATAGTATGGTCTATCCTGGAGAATGTTCCATGTGCTTTTAAGAAAAATGTGTATTCTTTGTGTGTGTGTTTATGGGGGGGCACTAGGGATTGGAACTACAGCCTTGTGCATACTAGGCCAGCACTCTACCACTGAGCTATATTCCCAACCCTAAGAAGACTGTATATTCTTCAGCTGTAGGTTGAAATGTTTTGTGTCTTTTAGTTCATTTGCACTGTAGTACATGCAGTTCTATTCTGATGTATCTTTATTGATTTTCTGTCTGGATGATCTGTTCTTTGGTCAAAATGGGATTTTGAAGTTTACAACTGCTACTGTATTGCAGTTTTTCACTTTAGATGTAGTATTTTATGTATTTGAGTGCTCTGTGGTAGGTGTGTATGTATTTATAATTTTTATACCTTCATGGTTAATGGGTTCTTTGACATGTTTTTACTTTTGACTCAAGACCCTTTTATCTGTTATGAGTATAACAACTTGTGATTACTTTTTTAGATTCTATTTGTGTGCCATGTCTTTTCCAGCCCTTCATCTTTAGTCTGTACTGGTGAAGTTAGTTTTTTATAGGCAGCATATCATTGGGTCTTGTTTGTTTTGAATCAGTTTCTGATTGGATAATTTATTTTATTTACATTCAAGGTTCTCAAAGACAGGTACTTGTTCCTGTCATTTTCTTAATTGTTTTCTTACTGTTTTGCATATTCTTTGTTCCCTTCTCTACCTCTTATTTTTTTATCACTGTGGTTTGGTGATTTTCTATAGTTAATAATATTTTGATTCTTTTCTCTTTTTCATTTGTATGTCAGTTTTACCAGTTAGTTTAATTCTTTCATATTTTTTCATAGTGGTAGTTCTTATCCCTTCACTTCAGGGTATAGTATTCCCTTCAAATATTTCTTGTAAGGCCAGTCTAATGGTGGTAAATTCCCTCAATTTTTTTTTTTTTGCTTGTCTGGTATAATTTACACTTGGAATATCCCCATTTATGGCTTGTGTCTAGATGTCCCCCTAAAGCCTCATGCAGTCATAGGTGGGGCTTTATCAGAGGTGGTGGATCTAGAGTGTGTGATGCTAGAATTGATTCATGGTGTAATGCTAGGATAGAGGACACTAACATTAAGGGTGGGCATGCTACCTCCGCCAAGTAGCCTAGATAAAACATAAGGGACAGACAGAGCTGTGGTCATCCCTTGTTGCTTTGCTACCTTCTGCCCACCATGAACCATTTCTACTCTGCAGTGCCTGTCTGCCATGTCACCCTGCCTTGGAGGCAGCTATTTATGAACTGAAACCTCTATGAACTGTGAGCTAAATAGAAACCTTTCCCCTTTTAACTTTGGGTGTCAGGTGTTTTATCTTAGCAATGAGAAAAAAATAAGTCACCCCCAAATGCTCATGTTTACTTAATGGTGTTCTACAAGTCTTGTAATCTTTATTTTTTTGTAATGCTTTTTTCTTGCCCACCCCTCTGCCTTCCTGACTGATATATCTTCAGAGATCTGTCTCCAAGTTCAGAAATTATTTATTCTGGTCAGTCTTTTGAAGTCCTCAATTCTGTTTTGGTTGTTTTTAAATTTTATTTCATTGAATTCTTCGGGTATGAGACTTGTGTTTAGTTCTTTTTTACAATTTCTGCTGAATTTCTCATTCAGATCATGAATTCATTTTCTCACGTCATTATCTCTGTCCTCTTACATCTCAAGTCTCCTTAGAATTATTTTTAATTCCTCTTGAGGAATCTCATAGTTTTCCTTTATGTTGGGGTGTTTCTGGAGAATGATGGTGTCCCTTGTAGATGTCATGCTTCTTTGTTTTTTCATATTTCTTGTGTCCCCATGTTGATGCCTATAATCTCGTTTAATAATTGCCACTTCCATTTTTATGGAGTAGCTTTCCCAGGGAAAGATTTGTTTGTTTTGTTTAGATGGACATAGGATGTCAGTAAGTGCTCAGGGTTTCAGTTAGCCCAGAGTGTAGCCTCCATGTAATTTCTTTAGCTGTGGGATGACTTTGCAGTAGGCTTAGGCTGCCAAAGTAGGGACCACAGGCCCAACAGAAATGAGTAGTAGAGCCAGGGATTTAGCTCAATAGCACCATGCCTGCCTTACAAGGGCAAGGTCCTGAGTTTGGTCCCAGGTACCCCCCCCAAAAAAAAGAGTAGTGAAAGTGGTGGTGGCAGCCACAACACAGGAGCACAAGGGGTACTACTCATGAGTTCTAGAGCACCAAAATCACATGAACCAGAGTAGGTTCAAAGCTTGTGAAGACTGGGATTCTCTTGTAGCCAGAAGTGCTAGTCTGCAGCCTTCTGCTGTCTTCTCCCAGCAATGTGATCACCCTACCAGGGAGCTGGGGATCAGTTACAGTGTACTTTGCTCCTCTCTCTCTCTCTCTCTCGCTTGCTCGCTCTCTGCTGCCATTCTGAGTTTCTGTCAGATTTTTAAAATATTTATTTTTTAAATTCTATTGCTACATTTAAGGTGTGCAATATAATGACATTCATCTTTGGAAATTTGCATCTTTACATAATCCATCTTGGTTCTTATTTTTTCCCCAGTCCCCTGCCCTCCCTTCAACCCCTTCACTTCTCCCTATCTACAAAGACTTTGTTTCCAATTTTTTCTCACATTCCATTCCCTTTCTCTTCCCTTTACCCCCCACTTCTCCTCCTCCTTTGAACCTTTTTATCCTATTTCACATTATCTGTTACCCTTTAGTCCTTATTTACACTTTCAGTTTCTCACACTAGAGAAACTATTCAATATTTACTCATGTATCCTATTTATTTTACTTAAAGAATATTGCCTCAATGTGCATCCATTTAGCTATAAATATCTCTAGTTTCTCTTAAAATATTTGTTTGTAAAATTCATGACAGTAATTTTGAAGGTCATAATTAAAAGCACAATAATGTTTTGCAGTTACCTCATACATAGGTGATAGAAATGGAAGATGCTACTACTTACGTTTCAGCTGTGCAGTTTAAAAGAGAGCTCTAAGAGGAAGTCAGTGTCAGAGTGCTTGTCTAGCATATGTAGAACCTTCGATTTAATCCCAGCACTGCAAAAAGAGAAGCAAAGCCCACCAAAAATGATGTTTTAAGCTAAAAAAAAAAAAATCTTTTTTTTTTTTTCCGGTTTTTTGAGACAGGGTCTCACCATGTAGTTGAGACTGACCTGGAATTCACTATGTAGCCCAGGCTGTTCTCCAACTCACACAGATCCTCCTTCCTCAGCCTCCTGAGTGTCGGGATTATAGGTGTGCACCACTACGCCCGGCCAAAAAATGATGTTTTAAAGACTAATCATGTTCCAAACTAAGAACCAAGATACATCATGTAAAGGTACATGATCCCAATGATGAACGTAACTGCATTGTTTACCTGAAATGTACCAATAAACTTAATGGGAAAAAAAACTAATCGTTTCCACTCCTGTATTTCTGAGGTTTTCAGAGGGATAATTAGGCATCTAATGTATTAGATAGCCGTTGAGTTCTGTGGCAAGTGACCTTGCTTTTCCTCTACACAGGTTTAACTTTCCTGTACTGAAATAATAACATTCATTGCTTATATTGTTAGTTATTGATGTAAATGGTCTTCCCAGCTGAGCCATGAGATACATTTATCACCATTTCATTCTCCTCCTGGCATAACCTTTTGCTGCCCTTGATGTTCACAATGTCTTTTCTATCTTTTTTTTTTTTTTTTTTTGAGACAGGGTCTCGCTATGTAGTGAGACTGACCTGGCGCTCACTGTGTAGCCCAGGCTGGTCTCACCTCACAGTGATGCTCCTGCCTCAGCCTCCTGAGTGCTGGGATTACAGGCATATGCCACCACGCCTGGCTAATATCTTTTCTAAATATTACTTAATTTTCTATGTATTTAATATTCATTCTACATTGATTTTTTTTTTTTTTTTTTAGTTTCCCATATTATATTATGTTTTGCTCTCTGACCCCTGGAAAATTCTAGGGGTTGAGCCTGTCTCTTTCTCGATGCATAGTATCAGGTATTAGCAGAGGCATTTCTGTACTCACAGCCTCCACAATCCTTGTGTCTCTCCACCCAGGATTCCATTCTCTTGGGAGGCCCCTGAAGTTGGAAACCTTAGGCAGGAATTAGCTAGGCTACTGCAACTCTGTTTACTGGCTGCTGCTTTTTTGTTCAGAAACAGAATTTTCCTGCTTTTTGTGCACTACAATACCACTAAGCACATAAACTTTCTGTGTTTCTGTACAATAGCACTAACCACTTGTAAACTTCTGTTTTCTTTCTATGTTAGAGTCACTTGCCATCACCCCAGTCACTGGTGCTGCGTTCGATACTCATGAGTCCTGTTAGCTGCTTTTAAGCAAGAGCGATCGAATGACAGGAGTGGGGATGTGCTAATACAAAGATATGGCCAGGAAAACACACTAGGATAAAATATGATACAGAAGAGATTATAGTGACTCAAAATTGGAAAGAGACCTCACCATGCAGGTCTGGGAATTATGGGGCTGCTGTCTGTGAGTTCATACTGACACCCTATCTAGATGCACTGTGGCAACAGGCTCTCTACCTCTCTGTTTCCATTTTCAAAATCCCAGGGGAGACCATGGAATGAAGCCAGCTTGCAGCTGTCCTCTTCTGGATCAGCTATTTGTGAGGATAGGCTTCGGTGAGGGCCGGCCTCTGGCAGCGCCACTGGGCCATGTTCCTAAGCAGAGCAGCTGCATCTGTGCAGCATAATCTATTCATACCAGTTTATCACTGAAACTGGGCAAGTAGAGTCAAGTGAAAAGGCACACATGAAAGTCCTCAAGTGACGAGAGCACTGTGCAACCACACTGTCTGGCTGTGTTGCATCTGGCCTTCCTGTCAGTCTGCACCTACCTTCCTTCCATTGAGGTCCTGGGTACCCACCTCAAGTGCTTCAGATGGATGCTGTGTTATGAGTGCCCCTAACCCCTTAGAGCTGCTGGCGATGCCACCCAGACTTCAAGTCTTTGCAGCCCCTGCTGGGCTCCTTCCTTTGTCTAGGACACATCTTTACTGTTTGAGGTCACATCCTCTTCCTCTGTCGGCCCCCGTGTGTACTGTGCATCATGGCAGAGTAGACAGGCAAATGTGTGCCAATTGAGTGCATGAAAATAATATGTGCTTGTTGTTGCCAGGGCACAGAGATCTGGTCCAGCCCTCGGCAGCCTGTTCCTCTGAAAAATTTGGTGACTTATCCTCAGCTGCAACTGGTTGTCACCATAGACATCCAAGGATTGATCAAAATGTGGAAAGCAGAGACTGGATGGGAATTGGCCTCCTTCGGCTTACCGACCTCCTCTTCTGCAGTGGAGCTCTGTGACCGTCCAGAGGCCCCCTTCCTGCTGGTGAGTGAACTGGCTGTCAGGACCCTCTGCAGGGACCAGCCTCCTCCCAGCTTCTCCTGTGCTTGTACATTGAGGTCAGCTGTATGGACCACCTGGAGTTCTGTAGTCACGTGCCCTTGTGTTTTTGTCTCCTCGGTTGTTCTCATTTTTTTTTTCCCCCTTTAATTTCTCTATGGCATTCTTGCTCTTCAATCTGGGTGTTGGTGTTGGTGGTGTTGTTGTTTTGGTAATACTGGAGATTGAACCCACACCCTTCACACTGATCTACATCTGTAGGCATATACACACACACACGCACACGCACACAGCTACTTGGTAATATCAGTGGACTGATAAAAAAGGAGTGATATTTTCTAGACCAAGATTGAGGAGATAGAAATCAAAGTGACAAGCCAGGTATTGGGGGCTTTTTTTTTTTTTTTTTTTTGTCTTGGAGAGGCTCAGTGTATCTCTAACATACTAGGGACGCAAGACAGAGTACAGAGCCACTGCACATGATGTGTGAGCCCTCATGTATTCGGTGGGACTGGCCAGTGTTATGGCTCCTGGTAAGGGCACAGGTCCAGCTCAGTACCCTGCTAAATCACAAGAGTAAGTGGAAATCCTTACAGAGATTACAAAGGAAGTTTTACCCTAAACCTCACGTTCTGTTTTCAAATGCAGCATTGAACATATTCTTCAAACTAGGCACAAGAAGGAATGAGACCATATGAGCTAGAACTATGGGGTAAACACCAGACAGTGTGGACAGCCACAGGCTTTAGACATAGACATGAAAATTCCTGTGGTTGAGCCAGGGATTTAGCTCAGTGGTGCCATGCTTGCCTGGCAAATGCAAGGTCCTGAGTTTGATCCCCAGTACCAAAAAAAAAAAACCAAAACAAAACCAAAAAAAACTTTTGGTTGTCATCTTCAGGGAGAAAATTTCAGCAGAGAACTTAAAGCTGTAAGATATAAAATAACAGATTTAGAATCAAGTAGAAATTCTAGAAGCCTAACCAAGTTTAAGGACTCAGTGGTCAGATTTAACAGCAGACAGATGACAGTCAGAGATTAGAGGAGGGCCAGAGGAGCCTGGGTGGTGACAAGAATATTTGCTTTATAATGATTTGCTGAGGTTGGTGCAGTTTTATATATGTGTGTTACATGTCAATTGAAAAGTAGAAGAAAATTGGAGAACTAGAAGATAAAAGAGAAGGAACTGTCTACAATAGTAGTGGTGAACCTATGGCATGCATGCCAAAGTGGACTGTTGGTTATCTTTGGAAGCACTAAAAGTTTCATCGTCACTAGTCTGGAATGAACCACAGGGTTACCAACAGTGGTAAATGGGAAAGCAGGGGAAAGAGAAGAGGACTGTGTTGCTTAGATTTGGTGTAAGTGCAGATCTGATTTATTCGGTCCCAAAGGGATGCCTGAGATTCTGGCTCACTGAGCTCCTAGGTAATACTGATGCTGCTGTCTATAAGCCATATGATCCACAAGACTATAAAGGATCCACAAAAAATTCCAATATTAACTGATACCTTAGGAATAGAGAAGGTGAATGATGCAGAAGAAATATTTGAAGAGATAATAGTACTTACCAAAATAGACTAAGGACATTAATCCATGGCATCAAAAAGTTCTGTAACCCTAAACAGTAAATAAAAATTAATTTGCATATAGGCTCATCACAGTGAATCGAGATAAATGATGACTAAGGGAAAAATTAATTAGCTCTGAGGATCGAACTCAAGGCCTCCTCACATATTAGGCAAGTGTTCTACTACTGAGCTGCACACAGGAGAAAAATTTTAATGGCAACCAAAAGAAATGAAAATACTTTCAAGACTGAATAACTTAATAGCAGCACTGGAAACTGGATGACAGTGAAGTGAAATCTTGAAAGACATGACTGCTAACTGAGAATTCTATTACTAGAAAAGGTGTCTTTCAAGAATGAAAATAAGTTTTATTGGGGGCCAGGGATTTAGCTCGGGGGTGCCGCCTCCTGCTTTGTAAGTGCAGAGTCCTGAGTTCGATCCCTGGTACCGGAAAAAAAAAAAAATGTTTTAAGTGTGGATACTCAGGCCTCCTAGTTGTAGGTGTAGGGATCTCTCCTGATGCACCACCAGCTCTTGTGCACAGGGTTGTGCATAGTGAGTCAGTTTGCAATAACAAACTGAGAAACACTTTAAATTGCCATCAGCATGAGAGGAAGTCAAAAGAAAATGTCTATTAATGTGGAAAGATTTTTGAGGAGTATTTCAGCTATAACACATAAAATGCAGATAGCAGAATGACACTCCAGTGCACCTTTGCCATTGACTAGCAAGGGCACCACAAGATCATCCCAGAATTTCCTTCCAGAGCCTTTGCTCTGAAGAGTAGTTACGTGTTGTTTCATCGTTGCTTTGTTTTTTTAAATTTCTTTTTGCTGTGTTGGGCATAGAACCCAGGGCCTCATGCACGCTAGGCAAAGCTACCACTGTGCTACACCCTTGGCCCTTGTCTGTGCTATTGAAAAGGTATTCTAAGACAGAATTTATAAGTAACCGGCAAATGCATCCTGCAGGGCAGCAGCTAAGCAGTTGTCTCCTCCTTCAGGTAGGGACGTAGCCCAGTCGCCTCTCTAGACTAGGTGCCCTGACGCTTCTCATGTGGGTTGGGGGTTCCTTCTCTCTCTCAGGTAGCCTGTGTTAACGGGATCCTCTACACCCTGAGAGTGCCTCCGCTGCAGGTGGTCTCCATGGTGACCGTGTTTTCTAACACCTTTGCAAATCTCCTCTGCTCTCCTGACCAGCAGTGGGTGTTTGCATCTGCACAGGACTCAGACGTGTACCCAAAGGTCAGTATCTGTGAGCCCCTTTCCCTTGGATTTGTGAGTGGAAGATGAAGGGTCTGGAACCCTGAGGCAGTGGGATGCATGTTCTAGAGCTGCTCCTTGCCTGGGACCGAGCCCTGCAGTGGGGCAGGAGCAGGTCCTGGTTACCCATTGAGGCAGACAGCAGAACCACTGAGCTAAATCCCTGGCTACTTGGTTACCCATTGAGAACCCCATTCTGTTTCCCTCCTGCAGAGGCTTAGGGGCTCTTGCCCAGATATATCTGCTCTCTACTGCCATGCTGCCTATGAGCTAGAGGGTGCCCCCTGCTGGGGAGGGCAGATGTCATTTGTAAACTGGTTTGAGGGCCATACGAACATGGTGGTGTAAACACATTTAAGAGCTATTTGATTGTATGGGGACCAATCTTCCGTGAGAGGAAGAGCAAGAGGCACAACAAGAGAGGAGAAGCTGATAAGGAAAGGCATCTGGGGACTGGAGAAGGAAGCCTTAGAACTTTTCTGAGCTTCCTGCATCACATTTGTGTGTAAGCAGTACCCTGTCCCCATCTTATTTTTTTTTTTTTTTATTTTATTGAGTTTATTGGTACATTTTAGGGATACAGTACAGTTACATTCATTGTTGGGATCATGTACCTTTACATGGCAAGTCTTGATTCTCATTTTTTCCCCTTACCTCTGCCCTCCCTTCACCCCCTCCTCTCCTCCCCATCTACAAACACTTTATTTTCATCTTTTCATTCTCTCACATTTTTTTCTTTTCCCTTTTTGTTCTTCCCCTACGCATCACACCTTCCCTACACCTTTAGCTCCTTTCTTCAAATTTGTAAATGTCAGTAATCTTATTAGAATCTTATGCATTGTTGCAGAATATTCACACCAGGGAAACTATTTGGTATTTACACATGTGTGACTTATTTATTTCACTTAGGAGTATATCTTCAATATGTATCCATTTTCCTATGAATGAATCTATT